TTCTCTCGCCAGCCACAAAAGTTAACTCAAAATGGATCAAGGAGCTAGATATAAAAACAGAGACACTGCGTCTGATAGAAGGAAAAGTTGGCTACGATCCCCATTAATGACTTTCAAAAAAAAAAAGAAAGAAAAAAAGGGGAAGAAGAGGGAATCTTTAGATTTACTGAAAAAGTAATATGGCCATTTTTAATTCTAAACTTGTGTGATTATCAATGATAAATAATATAATGTCCATATGATAAAAATAATTATAGAGAAAAACAACTATTGGAAAATAATACATCCTGAAGGCATGTTATTTTCAAGGATGTATTCTTTCCTTGCAAGCTTTTAAATTGTATACATGGGAAATGATATTTTGCTGTGGAGGTTAATTCCTTGAATGAAATTTAATGTTCATCCTGAAAAATAAATATGCTTTCTTAAGTGATTACAAATTTAATATAAATGTTTTAACACTTTACTCTTAATTCTATCTACATGTAATCTGAACTGAGAGAGAAATATATACTTTAAAAAATATTGACTTCATCTGTTTCATTCAATTTTAATAAATTAATGTATAACTCAATGAACACAGGATCATTAATATTTTGTTGATTATTCTTAAAATAAATTTACATTGCATCAAAAGGAAAATAAACTTAATTAGCAAAGAAATCAAACAAGTGTTAAGATCACCATTTTTGTCCATAATTTCATGTAAAAAATCAATGGAAATTAGTTTGAAAAGAAGCATAATAATTGTCTAATTACATTAAATTTAAGCTGAGTAGACATAATGAAGCATTTTCTTTATAGAAAAAGTTGTAATAATTTAGGCAGTTTTACTGAAGTTTTAAACTACAGATACTTTTGCAAATTGTAGTATATAGTCTTACTGCATCAGTTTTAATATTTGCATTAAAAATAACTGAATACCAATCATATTAAAAAGTAAATGAGAGAGAACCTTCTCACCAATTATTTTTCAGTGTCACCACATTTTAAAATTAGAAATGACCTTAACGGTAATGAAATGAGGCTGATGAACTGAGGTTAAATTACAGTCAAGAGTTACATTGCAAATTAGGATCTAAGCTAGGACTTGAATCTAGATTCATTATAGTGTGCTCAATCTGCGAATCTACTAATGTAAAATTTTAAAGGAGCAACCAGTACAATTTTCCCAGTTTGATTAGAAACCATGGTGTTTTCCAAAAGTGTGTTGTGCTTGCAATATTGTAAATTTTTAGCAATGTCTTTTGAACTGAGGTGAACAAACTACTATAAAAGCTATATTAATAATCAGAATAATTTTGGGGGAAGTTATTGTGAAAGTAACATTCTTGATTTCAATAGAGATTTTAAAAATCTATATATATATCACCCACAATAAGGGAGGGAGAGGAAGAATAGAAGTTCAGTAGATAGGACAAAGGGGAATAAAGGTAAGGGAGGCGGGTAGGAAAAGAAGACAGTGCAATGAATCTAATATAACTTTCCTATGTACGTATATAAATATACCATAGTGAATCTCACCACTGTGTACATCCACAAAATCAGGGTCCTAATTAAAATAGGATACATTCCATGCTTACATAATTATATCAAAATAGATTCTACTGTCATATGTGACTAAAAAGAATAAATTTTTTTAAAAAATCTAAGTTTTTGCATGGAAATACAGGTGTTCATTTCCTTTAGCATCACTAAACTAACATTAATATAATTAAGAAAAGAATATAAATCTAATTAGAAAAGAAACACTGGTCAAATTTATAAATATGAAAATTCACTTCTTGCATAAATATCTTTGGTAAACATTGGTGTGGTCTTCTGCAACATTTTATTTGCATAAATCTGTATATGTTTTTGTGTTATTATGATATTTAATTATACTAAAATAAAATTTTAATGTTAAATTTTAATCTAAAGTGTTAATGATATTTCTTCATTATTTAAGGAAAGAAAACCTGATTTATTACCATGAATAGTGTTTGTGGACTGGATTAAGGTTATCATATTTCCTTGAATAACTAAAGTCTGTACATAAAACTAAATGCTGTGTCAACCCACATATTAACTACAATGAGTAATAAATATGAAACATTACAAAAAGCAATCAAATAATTTACACTGGACTGTTTATATAATGTTTGTTATCTAGATAAAAACAAATCAAATTTCTTACTGGTAATATATAGAGATAGTTCACTTGGTATTACAGTCTAGATATATGAAGTCCACCAAAAAACTCAGGTTGAGCCAATGCAAGAGATTTTAGAAGTGAAATGACTAAAGTATGACAGCCTCAACCTTACCAGTGGAGTAATCTACTGATAAGAATTAAGTGGGAGGTGACTGTGGGCAGGTGCGGTGTGGCTTGAAGTAGTAGGTCATTGGAGACATGCCTTTGGGGTTTATATTTTGTCCCTAGTGAGTGAAGCTCTCTCTGTGCTTCTTGCTTTAGATGTCCTGAAATGTCTTCCTTCACCACACCTTTCCACCTTGATGTTCTGTTTCCCCTTAGACCCAGAGCAACAGAATCCCCCGACTAGGGACTGAGGCCTCTGAAATTATGAATTTTGGGTGAACTTTTTCTCCTTTAAAATTGTTCTTGTCAGTGTTTTTTTTTTTTTTTTTCTAAAATGGGGTAAAGCTGACTAAAACACTTAGTAAGTAAATACTTGGATGATGAAGGAAACTATGTAATTGAACTTGAATCCTGTTTTTGTTACTACTAACTCTGTGACATTTCCAAATCAATTTCTCAAAGTCTGTTTCTCTGTTTCCTTATCTATAAAATGGAATTTATAATAGTTTTAAAAGTACAGGGTTGTTGGGAAGATTCAATGCCATAAATAAATACTTAGCAACTTTTTGGACATAAAATAAATTCTCAGTAAATTTTATTAGCTATAGTACATAAGTGACAGTTACAGAAAATGTCTGTATTCTAGAAAAAGAACATTAGCATGAAAATGGTATTGGACCAAAATGCAAAAAAAAAGTGATTAATATCCACATACTGGAAGGAAAGAAATAAAAAGTAATATACGGACAATTCCATTCTTCATGAAGTAACAAGATAAAATAGGTCAAGTGTTCAGTTGACTTAACCTGCTTATTCACACATTCTTCGTCCATCTTTCCTTTTCACATACACACAAAAAATATTAACTTAAAATCCAACTATAATTTAAATTCATTTTTCTATAATTTTCCAACATCTTCTCCACACTTTCTTCCTGTATCATCTATCTTATTCTAAGACACCATCAAACCTATCAGCATCCTGTCTCACCTGGAGCAGACATGGCTACATCACATCACTCTAGCCAACTGAGTCTTTACCTATACTCAGTAGTACTCTCGACACAGGTAACAGGATCAAATGAGTGGGAATTGTCAGCCTGTCCTACCTAGAATATATCAACCATCTTGGCTTAAAAAAAATAACATATTCTTTTAGTTCTCACTTAAAATAGCAAAAAAAAAATATGCAGAATGATAATAAAATTTTGTGCTATAAAATTATGTGCTAAGTAATTGTAGTTTACTTGGTTTTATTGATTATTGTTTTGATGGGAAATGAGTCGTAGTTCACTAGGTTTCACTGATTGTTGTTTGACAAGTAAATTAGTTACAGTGTATAAGGTTTTAGTCATAGTTCCCTAAAAACACATATAAAAATAATCATGGGTATGTCAGACATTTATTAAAATACACTTATAGTCACCAAAATTTCAAAGATAGAAAAAGCTAAGGTAACCCAGTTTTTATGTGGGACTTTTTATGTAGAATATAGTTTTGATTGCCTCCCTTCAAAAACTAAAAATGGAACAAATCCACTGAAGGACATTTTGGTTTAAGATGTATAGTGAATCAGAAATCAATTTGTGCTGGTTTGCAATATGGACCAGGAAAATGTTATGGTTTTGATGATTACCCAACTCTTAATTCCTAAGGAGAATAATACATTTGAATCAATTGTAGGAAGAAATGAATCTTTTAGAAGTCAACCGCCATTCTTGGAGGAGACGCATTGAATTGAAGCAGGTCAGCCTCTGGTGTAGTAGGAGTGGGAGCTGGAATCAGAGGGTGCGGGGAATTCAGCCAGGAAACGACTGCCTGCACAAATGGATGTTCAGGTAACACTGTGAATCCCATCTCAAATCTAACGATAACCCCAGGTTAAGTAATTTACTCACAGTGACACAGCTAGGAAATGTCAGGAAAAGGAAGAGAACTACTGGCAGGGGTGTGACCACAGATGGTGTCTGGTGGTCAAGCAACCACCATGAAATACCATCTCTTAGTAGTGACAAATAACCTGTTCACATTCAGCTAAGATAGGCAGCTGACGATACTTTTAAAAATTTAATTTCTTTCAATTCCTCCCTCCTTTATACTGGCCATTGTATTTAGCTTGAATTTATTACTTAAAGAATCTGGCATAAAGTGAGCTCAATTTGGTCAATGTCAACAGGTGGTTTAAGGAAATTGAAGTAGGCTGTCCCTGAAAGTATTCTACAACAAAGGCTAAAATGCAATTGAATCTTTTCCCAATATATGATGTTCATTAAAAACTGCCACTGTTTCGCTTTTAAAATATAAACTCTGTAGACTTTTTCCCCTTTAATTTACCACATAATGCCACATGCAGACTACAAAGGAAAGTGCCTTGCAGATTGCAATAAGCAGCCACTTAGAAGCTCAGTGAAAGATCATACAGTTGCTAGTGGACAAAGTGCTTAACTCCATTAGTGCCATAGGCTGATTAAATCACCCACATTACATTTCAACGGTGTTTCAGCCAATTAAGCCAGCTCAATTCATCTCTTCTTTCTGGGGTCATAAAGACATTAGAAACAAATTTACGATCAGGCCTGTTAGTGAAATGACTTGTAGAGTTGTTTTTAAATCAGGGCGGCTAAATTAATAATAATAAAAAAAAGTTCAAAATTATCTGAAACAAGTATTTTTTAATATTCAAAGTCATCACGATATAGCCTTAATTACGTTCAGAAATGCTTTTTTCCTTTCTTTCCCTAAGCAGACTTAGGAAGCAGTGAACTGAGCAAACCAGTCAGCTGGAACAGAGGAAGAAATAAGCGGAATTCATTTTCAGTCAGGTGACCCCATTGTGGAACTATCTTCTTGCAGCATTCAGTTCCCCTGAATGATAATTCCACCAAGCAGTGCACAGGAGAGGGTAGATTTAATCCCTGAAGTAATGTGTATCTAGTGAATGCTGTTTAGCCGATTAGGTTGTGCAATTTCTAAAACTACAGATACTGCTTTTGATACTCTTTGCCTGATTCATCAAGCTCCCCACAAAACACCATCTATCATCAGATCTTTGACCAAAATGAAAACAAAGAGCTCATCAGGTATGGGGAAAATAAATTTATGTAAATTGATAGCAGCAAATGCTCCATGAATAAATAGATTCTTACTTCATTATGCTAAAAAAGAACCCTTTCATTGTTCATGATACCATTTATAAAGGATTGAAAGATATTTTGACTAATTTTACTGAGATAATCTTTCAGACAAAATTTCTCTTTTTCTAAAATAAACTCACTAAAAGAAATTTGAAAATGGAAAATTTGGGGTCAACCACTAGAGCTACTTCTCATTTATCATAAATGATCTCTAGATTCAAGACTCATCTTTGATAGTCTTAAAATCCATTTGTTCAGTAATTAGTTAAGAGTGTAATCTGTCTGCTTAAAAGAGACATACAAATAATGGCTTATAAAAAACAGAATTCAGGATTTGTTTTGTTTTTCTTCTTGTTTTATGTAACAATTGACAGTAGATTCAAGTCTAGTGTGATGACTGTGTTAGAAAAATATATTCTATGACCAAACTTCTTACATTTCACTACTTCATTATTCCTATGGTGTTTCTCTCCAAGCTTATCCGAGATCATAAAATCTGCATTTCATCCAGAAGAAAGTCAAGGGAAAAAAGAAAAAAACAACTTTTTACACTTAAGAACACAGTCTATAAAGTATATTTTTCACTTGCATTCATGCCATTTATGTAACAGTCATAGGAATATACCTGGCTGCAAATACCTGGCTTCCAAGGCAGATGGATAATGGCACACTTTTTCTCTTTTCATAAAAGACTGAGAGAATATATACTATACATAAACACACACACACACACACACACACACACACACACACACACATATATGGAGTCCACTAACAGACTCTGCAACAGATGGCAAATGCATTAACCTTAAGTAGGTAAGTAACAAGAAAAGATCCTTCAGGAAATTAGAGAAGGAAGATTTCACGTAGTATAGTATATGTGACTTTATTTCTGTCCTAGTCTCTAGTTATGAGGTGTTGAAAAGAGCATCTGCTGATAAAGCTGCAATCTGCAGTGCTCCATAGACTAACCACCAACAAATGCAAACTGACACTTCTGAAATGGATTAGTGTGCATATCAACAATCTCCTAATGGCTTTCATCCTTTCTATCACATTTGACCTTGCCTTTTGGAGGCATTTGATAAGTGATTAATTATTCATCCTAGAACTTGATCCTTGAACAACTAAACTACTTCCCGGAAGCAAATATGGATGTGTATTAGAGCATCAGAATCTATGAATTATTCATTGATTGTAGGCCTTATATTTGCCTAGTGTGGTCCAATCTCTAAGTTAGGCAGTCTGTGAAATATAAAAATAATGGAATGCATGGTCTCTGACCTCAAAGGGGTTTCTACCAGAACGAAACAAATATTAACAGGATGTGTGGACTGAGTTGTTATAATCGACTGTGTTAATGTCCATCTTCAGGGATTCCGTTCAGTGCTGTGACTCTCAGCTAAATTACAACCTATCTCTAGAGAAATGGTAGAAAAAAAAGAGGATTCAAAACAAAGGAAACAAACAAAAGACCAGCCTAAATCTGAAATTGAACATCAATGAAAATTTTGCTGGTATTAAAGGAAAAAGAAAAACCACAAGGTCCAAATTGTGGATTGATTATAATTTGTTGTCATTAACAGACAGGAAGAAGTCGAGTAGCATATATAAGCTCAGATGTGAGTATCTTAATTAATTCCAAACAGCAAGTAGAAAATCTGTATAACATCCTAGAAGTAGAAGAGGGAGAAGCACTGGAGTAAGGGAAATGGAAACTTAGAGACATTCGTATCTCAGAGAGGAGAACAGAGTTAAAACCCTGAGCAATTGAGCAGTCAGTTCCAAGTCAAGGAAGAAGGGGAAGGAAAGTCTTTGTATTTTCTGAATATGGTACATTTTGTTTCATTGAAAGTTGTAGGATATATTCTCAGATAGATAGGTCTTTTATAGGTTGGAATTAATCAGCCAATTCCTTTGAAGTTACAGATGTTCTTTTACATGCATATTAAGAAGATGGCATGTGTATATTTTTGATAACTAGTTTTCTCTGTGGCCAAGTGTTAGAAGCTGGTCCTACTATGACACAGGAATATCCCATGACAAAAGGGCAATTCTAGCAGGAAGTAGGATAAGCAGGGTCTTTATTATTCTTTTTGTGCCTTCTTCAGAGTCACTCATTTTGTGGACTGCTTTATATGCAATATTTGGCATGAATCCTGGTATATACCTAGCTCTCCAATGACTTTAAGATAGAGGATGGCTAGATCACACACTGGGTGTGTGTAATGTTTGTGGATGGCCTTTGTGACAGACCTAGTAACTAGCACTATCAGACAGGGCTGGTCATTTTGAGAGAGAAGATGTATGGTGGGGGTGCAGAGGAAGTTAAACATTATAAGTTATTGTAAAATTAGAAAAATTAGCTCAATAACTTCTTAAGTCTATGCCCAAGTTTTAGCCTGCTTCCCCATGTGATCCTTGGAGACTTTTTTTGGTCCTCATTTACTCTGTGGAAGATAGATACTTTTCCCCTCTCAAACCCAAAGCTACTAGAGAGATACAAAAACAATAATACTTGATTACGATTTAGTTAAGTCAGAAGATTATTATTTTAATTGTAAGTATATAAAATTTAAAAATTTTTCTTTAAAGACTTGTAAAATATTTAGTCTCACTTTTTAATGTTTAGTTAATTGAACATCTGTAAAATATTTAGTCTCACTTTTTAATGTTTAGTTAATTGAACATCTGTTCATTTTTAAACTGTACTAACAGTTTACTTTTTAAAGTATTGAACTTTACTAAAACAACAAACAAAACCTTGGGACCAACATATAATTTTAAGTGATCACATGTCAAAACTGTGTTTAATTCTTTAGAAAAGGAACAATAAGTATGATCAAGCTATTTCAAAAAAGGTATAGGAAATAAAGAAGAATATATAATCACTATAAGGAAGAAACAGGATTAAGAATGTAAAATTACATGCAAAACTGATTAATGCACTATAAAGCAACACAACTAGAACTGTATAGTGATATTTTTCTCTTTGACAGACACCAGTTGCATGCTCATAAAACAAAATTCATTTACACTGATTTCGGACAAGAATACGCAGTATTGCTATTTTTGACCTCTAACCTTAGAAAACTATAAAATGTCTTAACCAATAGTAAATAATAAGTAATCAAAAGCTATATACTTATAGAGAATGAGACAATACTTGGATTAGTTTATTGGGCAATGATACCAAATGAGAGTTGTTCCTTTACCTGTATGGGCAGCAGAATATCTTAACTGATATACCTTGTACCATGGCCATCAAATCAAAAGTCATATAGTGTCATACCAAAAGATGGTTTCCATTTCAAGATTTGGATAGAAACCTAGGATCGTTTAATATGTTTAATATGCTTTAGTACATCAGGGATTTTGTAGTAGTAGTAATAGTAGTAGTAGTAGCAGTAGTAGTAGTATTAGTAGTAGTAGTAGTAGTGATATTTCTTCTTACATTACATGCTTAGCAGACCAAAAACTAGAAATTAATTTCCAAGAAATTTTACCTGCTATATCAATAAATGTAATTGACTTAATCCCTCCAAAACTTGCTAAGTCATTTAAATGATAGAAAGTAACTGATCCCGCTATCTATAATGCTAGAACATTGTTAGTTATGAAGTTATACCAGGTCACTCACCTAGGAGGGTTTTCCAGGTATTGATTTCAACTTCCAATCGTTAATGATGTGTATTTCACACCAGATTAAATAAAATTATTCTCAAATATGGCACTCAAAAACATTCAACAGCTATTCAAGCAATAGATTCAATAAGCTGTATTCTGATTTTTAAAATGGAGGGCTTATACTTACTGTATTTCTTATATAACTACGGTTCCAGTGAAAGTGAAAATATTCAATAAAAGTACATTCATTCTGACTTCCCCACAAATCCATCAAGAGAAAAAAAAACACATAAGTTTCAAAATAACATCAACATTATTTCTAACAAAAACCGTTATTAATTCTTAGGTCACTCATGCTTACATACCTGACTTTTGTTCAAATGCTCCATAGTCTACTTTCATGATATCTTTTATATCTGGATAAAAATAAGTTCTGAAATTGTTGACTCAGTCTCATGCTGAACCCAAATTTGTCTATGTGATATTAGCTCAGAAGCTTGTATGACCAGTCTTTGCTTGAAGTATCAGTTGATAAGTCTACCTGGTAAATTCTATCCATGTAGCTCTGAGTCTGACCTTTGTAGCAGAAAAAAAATTCTAGCCTGTAGCTTTTAGTAGAGCCCTTTGGAAAGCATGAGAGAACAGAAGTCACCTATAGATGATAGTACTGAAAGGTTGTGTCCAATCTATTACAAAAATCAAAAATATCAAAAAGAAGAAAATAGAATTAATACTATAGATACAAGAAATGACTTGTTCAAAAATAATTTGTTGATATTTTGTGGAACGACTGAGAAAAATTTCATGAGCACAATGGTACCACTAAATATTTAGGGCCTTCCTCTAGTATATGTCATCTCAGTAGCATACTTGGAGAAATGATGATTTACCTGAATAAAATTAATTTAAGAAAGAATAAGCTTTCTGTTTAATACAATTGCCCTTTTCAAGAAGCCACTTGAACTTCTGAGCTAGGTGAGAATTATATAGAATATGAAAAAAATAATTCTAGCATTCTTTCTATTTAATATAGAAAAAATTTATTTTCTAGACACCTGCCTAGAAATCTTAAAGAAAGTTAAAATGTAAAATGCATCTTGACTTTTTTTTTTTAAATTTAGGGATTCTTTTAGAAAACTAAACCATTTGAGTTATTAGGGGATAGGAAGTAATGTGATTAAAATAAAGTTTTGAAAATAAAATTAAAAATTGTAACTTGCTGCCTATAACTAAGAGAGCATAACATTTAAGATTGAAAATATAAGAAAGTACTACAATAATAATGAATTTGAGTTTTTGCAGAAGTGAGAAACTTTTGCCTGTTTTTTTAATTATTTTTAATTTTAAATAATCAAAGCTATAAAAGAGCCAGCATAAAGCACAGGAGTTGCTCTGGTGAGATGTAAAATACCCG